TTTCGATTGTACTTCCGCCGCCAAAGATGCCCCCAACGAAGCCCCAAGAGGCCCCCCAAACGGCTCCCGAGAGGCCTCAGAATTGCCTCTATGAGGCCCCCGAGAAGCCTCCCGCGACGGTCTCCAAACGAACATCCAAGAGGCCTCTCACCCACAACCCAGGCACGGTGGCGGGATGGGCCGAAGGCCACTAGTGAGCGTTTTCTTATTCGGCGTCTCGATATTGGGCGGAAAGGGGGGGATGGGGGGAGGCCTGGCTCTGGACCTCTGCCTAGTGCGGCTGTTTGCAGAAGTGCGTCCTGTGGGGGAGAAGCTCCGCCTGCTCGAGACGGGCGCCGAAGACATCCAAGATCTACTCCATGGGGGGGGATCCGAGGGCCCGCGCCGATCGGCAAAACAATACATAAAAAACGATCACCTACACGTCGTTCATTTCTAATCGTGCTCATTTCTACTTGTACTCGCTTCTAAGTGTTCCTGGCCCCCTTGTGGCCAGGAAGAGGCCCAGGAGAGAACAATCAGAGAAGAAAGGGACCTTGGCCCCAAAATGCAAAAATAGCTAAACATATGTAAAAACAGGTAAATGCAAAACTAGGTAAGAATAGGCAAATGGGTAAAAATAGGCAAACATAGGTAAGAATAGGTATTTAAACGGAAAGTGCAAGACATAGGTAAAATATGACCACACAGAGTCGAACATAGTAGTAAAGCATATGAAACATAAAAACATAGCAAGAGCATACTCCAGCAGAGTCGAACATAGCAACAGAACCGTCCCCAAACTATTTTTTTGACCCTTTTTGACTGCTCCTCCTCTAGCGGGACGTGCCCGACGGACTGCCAACCGCGCCGGCACAGCAGCTGGCCAGGCCCGTCTTGCACTCCCGACGGGCCTGCTCGACCTCAGCGCTGCTGTGCAGCTGGCGATGCTCGGGACGCCCCGTCGGGGCGGCCGGACGCTGCCGCCGCCGCCGCCGACTTCCACGGCGGCTGCGGTGGCAGTGGTGGTGATGGAACCGGCGAAGACGATGGCGAGCCTGAGCGGAGGATGACCGTGGGCACGGCACTTGAGGACCACGGCGGGAGGGCCAGCACAGGTTCGGAGGCAGGCTCGGCCTGTCACTCGGGATTGGCGCCACCGGGACGCTCTGGCCACACACGGCTCGCGACTGCCACGTACCACGCTCGCCCCCGCTGCCGGTGCACGGGCGGCGATGGAGACCCGCAGACGCTTGCCCACTGGAGACCAGGCGCAGGTCCCCCGACAGCGCCGTCCGCGTCTACACGCAGGAGCGACCCCAGGCAAGAGTGGCCTTTGGTGCACGGCTTTAGGCAGCGCTCCAACCATCATACTGGCGACCTGTCCAGGCAATCCGCCAGTCGCCATCGGCGCGTCATCAGCAGTCCCTGCCGCAACGCCTGCTTGCGGCGCGTGCCACGCCTTCGGTTGTTCCTTCAGGGTGGGGACTTGCTTTTTTTGCTGACAACGACTTGAGCAAAAGGATCTCGACACCGATTTGCCACCTCGCGCCGTGGTCTTGGCTCCCCTCTATGCAGCTCCGCACAGTCCGCCGATTGTCCCACGTGTTTCGCTGGTTGGTGCCGTGCACAGGCTTGCACGAGCACGCCCCAAAGAAAAGGAGGAAGATGGATAGAGGAGAGGAGGAGGAGGAGGAGGAGGAGGAGGAGGAGGAGGAGGAGGAGGAGGAGGAGGAGGAGGAGGAGGAGGAGGAGGAGGAGGAGGAGGAGGAGGAGGAGGAGGAGGAGGAGAAGGAAGAGGAGGAGGAGGAGGAGGAGGAGGAGGAGGAGGAGGAGGGCGAGGAGGACGAGGATGAGGCGGACGACGATGGCGATGATTATGTTCGGCTCCCGACCCCAGCGGAGCAGCACCCTCGAATCGGCCCTGAGCGGTCGATCCGCCTCCAGGCCGCCTCGACTTTGCACTCCGCGCTGTGCGAAGCACTGTTATCTTCGAGCTGTCGCGAGGCTCCCCAGGGAAGGGCAGCTCAGCGGCCAAGACCGCGGAGCGTGACCCCCTTCGCGCCACCGTGGGCGGCTTGGCATAATGCGGGGCACGAGCTCCGGCTCTGGCCGGTCAGGGCGCAGTGAACCAGGGCATGGTGAGAAGAGGGCGCAAGCGCTCCCAAAGCCCCCCGTCTGCAGTGCCCCCGTCCCCACACCTCCTCGCGTCGCGAACAAGATCACGACAGAACGTGTTCGGCGATTTTCTGTATCTGGGGGCCCTGGCAGGGCCCCCAGACCGTCAAGACACGACTGGGGATGGCAGAACGATCCCCAGGAAGGGGCCCAGACCGCTGGGGTCCACGCTGTCAGAGAGGAGCGACGGACGTCGGAGGTCTGGGTCTGCAGTGCCCAGAGCTCCGTGCTCTGGGGGCATGGCTCAACGGAGCTGGCGTTCCCGACGCGCCCGTTCACAATGCTCTCGCTCATGTCAGGAAGATGGAAGCACACACGGCTGGGATTGCGCGCGGAAGGTGCGGAGGCCACGCGCTGGGCACGCATGCGGGGGGCCAGTGTGCACGGCCGCACGACACTGGCCAGGGCCAGCGGTGGTTACCGACTACACGTAAGAGTGACCCTAGGCTAGAGTGACCTTTGGTGCGCGGCTTCAAGGGCTCCCGAGTAGGCCCAACGCAACCGCGCAAGCCAGCACTGCCGCGCCGCATCAACGATCGGCTGGACGTGCCTCGATTTTTTGTTTGTTTTTGCGCCAACGGGCAACCGTGGAATTCCGCCAATTGGACTCGAACGCCCCGAACGGCACTTCGAAGCCGCTGCGAAAGGTCTGGCAGCGGGGCCGCGTCGCAATGACGTTTGACCGAGTCTGGCGTCATGGGACATGGCCAAAACTGGCCCCATCCGCGGGCTGGGAATGTGTTTGAGTATCAATGGGAAACTTGCAACCGTAAAGACCCCCATTCGGTCAAACCATTGGTTCAAACATATTCAAACAGGTCCACATAATTTCAAAGTATCCAGAAATATTCCAAGGTGTCCAGGTGTATATATATATATATGTTTGTATGTATATATATGTATCGAAAACAACATTCCAGGATATTCAAGATTCAAGACGGGCGATTTGGGATTTGGGCTAATTCGGATTCGGGACTGGTCCTGGGTCGGAAAACGCGCCGTCTGGTCGGCCAGCCCCCCCCCTCGGGAAACCAATACAAACTGTGGGGTGCTCCGCGTATGCGTTTCTGTCGATTACAGGGGGGGGGGCCCAAACCTGGCGCGCTCAGATGCGAGCGCAACCACGCGATACGGGCCGTCGACGCGAGGTCACGCTCACCCTCATCCCACAAGAAAGATCACCCGACCCCCTTGGGGCCATTGGCGCTTGCTCCCCGAGGCGCTGCATTGGCTCGGCGTCTGCACTCATATTTTCTGGCATGTTTTTCAGGTATGTCTTCAGCATGCTATTTTCTGCCGCTGCGCCGTCAGGGCGCAGCTCTTGCCTGCCTCTTGGGGCCAGCACCAGAGGTCACTGCAGCGCAGGGCTGAACCTAAACAGTGTTTTTCGTTGTCGCTTGGTTTTCCGTTTTCCCTCGTTTTGTCTTCAATCCACCTCTACCGCAAAACGAAGTCGAAACGAAAACAGCCCACGAAATCGCCAAAACACCGTTTAGGTCCAGCCCTGCTGCAGCGAAGGGTCACTCTTACGGGCAGTCGATGGCTATCACCCGGCCAGCCAAGGCCACGCCGCGAACGTAATCAGGCCGCCCAAGATGCAGCTCCCGAGCCGGGGTCCGCTGAGAGCGGCGAGGGCGGCCGTTTCCACATGGCGCCCAAGCCTGGGTCGGCCAGAGGGATCGCAGGGGACTGGCTGACCCATCCGACCCCAATCCGCTCCAGATCGACCCCAGGATCTCTCTCAAGGTCCCTCCGGGCGAATTTTCCATCGTGGATCGATTTCCTATGGCCCTGGGGCCCCAGGCCGGCCCGCTGTGGCCGAAGCTGGGGGGAAATGCTTGTTTTGCTCGGAGAATGTCTGCGCCCCGAGTGCGCTTCCATCTTCCTCGTGTTGGACGCCCGAACTGGGTACGGGTACGGAAGAATGGGTACTGCCCAATAACAAATGTTGTCCAACACCGACAGCGGCCGCTGTTGGGCGGGCGGCCTTCTGACTCAAATAGGTAACGTTCGCGGCGACACCGACAGCGAGTCCTGTTCAAAATGGGCAGGACCTGCTGTTGGCCTTCCTGCCCGTTCTTTCCGTACACACTTCGATCTTACCGACCGGTGCCCCAGCAACGCGACCTCCCCTGAGATCCGACGTAGCGAACAACTTGCAACATCGTGAACAATCACGGCCACGGCTGGAGCCCTGGACCCCACAGGGCAATTTTTAATACATGGGATCTTTTAAACATATAAGATTTTAATACATGACTAATTCATGAATGAATTCATGCATGAACTCATCGTTGTTTTTAGTAGTGAGCCCCTGCATTTTTCTTACATGATCTGCACGCGGAGCATGTATTGAAACCGGCACTGCACCTCTCTGCCTCCTTCTTCGAGCCGGGTAGACCTGCGAGGGTCACGGGAGCCGAGATGGGGCGAAACCGCCCGGTGTGCAACACACGGCCACGCCAAGAGCTCAGGCTTAAGTCGGGCCTGTCCCCCTACATGGGGGATTTTCGACGAGGAATCAAAAACACCCCCAACATTGCCCCAAAAAGGTCAAATAATACTCAAAACATAATCCCCAGACTGTTTCTGGATTTTTTTTGGCTATTTTTGGGGGTATTCTTTATTCTTCGTCGAACATCCGCCTGGAGGGGGACAGGCCCGACTTAAGCCAAGATCTCAGGCTCCCCCCCCCTTCCCCGCGACCCCGGAGGCGCTCCGGGGGCGCCGGGGGCCGCGCCGCCGAGGAGAGCGGCGCCCGCAGCAGCGGCGCCTCAGGCACCTCCCGGAGCGGCCAGAGAGGCCCGCGCGCGGCGGAGGCCCGCGCGCAGTGCGCGGCCGCCTCAGGCGCCGGGGGCGGGCGCCGCGGCGAGGGGCGCCAGCAGGAGCAGGGCCGCGGCCAGCAGGCGCGGGCGCCCCGCGCGGGGGCGGGCGCCGCTGCCCAGGCGGAAGGGGTAGAAGAGGTGCTGCGGCAGCAGCAGCGGCAGCCGCGCCCGGGGCGGCGCCCGCACGGCGGGGTCCTCCGTGCGGTCCAGGCGGGTGAAGGAGACGGTGAAGGTGAACTGGAAGTGCTGCTTCTCCCGCGGGTCCTGCCTCGTGTGCTGCAGCTCCCCGACGCGGTGGGCCGCGGTCGCCGCCACGATCTTGTTCTGCGGGTTGCGCACGTCTCCGAACGGCGAGTAGAGCACCTGAAGGTCGACGCCCACCACGGCCCCCTCGCACTTGGACTGGGATGCCGAAGTGGCGTCCTGGCTGAACTGCGGAGTCTCCGTGACGGAGTCGAATGACACCTCCACCCAGTCCTCCGGGTCCTCCGAGTCTGCAGCCACGCTGCCCCACGCTGCGATGTGCGTCCAGTTCGGCTCGGGAGGCCCCAGCACTCTGAGAATCTTCAGCTTACTCGAGAAGCCACAGCTCGCGTCGTCGCAGCACTCAGCCTCGAGCTCTGCCCGCGTCAGCGCAAGGGTGCAGCCCAGGACCGTGTCCTCCCCGAAATTGAGCGCGATGTTCCATGCGCTGCGGAAGGAGCCAACCGTCAGGCACCCCCCAAGTCTGGACACCCCGTCGATGGTGGCAGCGCGAGGTCTTTGCGGAATGGCATCTGCCACCAACAGGGGCAGACCCACGATGTATCCGGGGTTCCCCGAGCGCTCTGTCACGGAGCTTGGGTCGGCGCCCTGCAGGAACACCACGCTCGTGCTCTGTGCCACCCGGCCGCCTTCGCACGGCGCGTCCTGGATATCCTGCAGAGTGATGTTCACCTGGGCTTTGTTGATCTTGGCCGCAGAATCAAAGTAGAAGGCGTACTGCAAGCTCCGGATCGCACCCTCGCAAGAGCACGCGCCGCCGTTCTGCGAGAACACGGGGTCTCGAAGCTCGGTCGACGCCCCTCCGGCATCCACCACACTCACCTCTGGTGCCAGGCAGAGGGAGCCGCTGTCGGATGTGCCGCACTTCAGGGTGCCTGCGAGAAGCTGCGTTGGTATCTTCCAGCTGGTGGCGATCACCGGGTTCAGTGCCACCGCACACGCATCTACAAGATTCCGCTCGATCCAGCACGAAGTGCTCGGCACGTCCATCAAGAATCTGGCGAGCTGCGCCGCCGAGCCCTCTGGGCAGCCCCCGAGCGCGCCCGGAGCGCGGAGGGCCAGGCCGGCGGAGATCTGCGTGACGCCGGGGCTCTCCAGCGACGAGAACGGCTGGATCGTGCTGTCCACTGTGGAGAGAGCCATGTGGACTCTCAACACGTCGCCTGCCTGGTACGCTCGCATCACCGTTTGCGCCGCGGCGGCCCCAGCCGCTGCCAGCACGTCACCGAAGCCCGACTGCTGCTGTCGCTCCCTCTCTTGTGCAATGGTCGAGGACGCCACAGTGGGACTGTTGGCGTAGAAGACGCCCTGGACCTCGTTGTTGTCAACCTCGACGCAAAGAAGGCTGCGCAAGTCGTCTGCCACCACCCACAGGTCGACTCGCGGGTTGACGTTGGTCACCCAGTCCTTGGAATAGCAGAACTGCGAGTTGGCCGGTGCTAAGCCCTCTGGCAAGCAATCGAAGGTCTGCGCGAGGCTACCCGCGAGGTCGTCGCTGCAGTCCGGGTCGCAGCAGCAGTGGGCGTCGCACAGGCCAGACGCGAGATCGCACGTGCAGGGCCCGAGGTCCCTGCTCACATCCTTCGGTTACACGCTGGAGTGACCCTCGGCAAGAGTGACCTTTGGTGCCCGGAGGAAGGGGGCCAGAGGTGGCCAGATCCAAGCGCACAAGCAGCCACCATCGCATGGCGTTCCGCGATCGGGGGGACCCATGGTGAGCTTGTGCGTTCCTTACTGGAGGGCAAAGAGGGCCCTAAAGAGCTCCTTCACGGGCCCTGAAGGTTTCTTTTCTGCAGCCCTCGCTGCCCCCCCCCCCCCCCCGCTGATTGCCCCCCCATCACGCGACGCCCAATGAACCCGCACCAAAAGTCATTCCGGCGACGGGTCACTCGTACGCGCAGGCGGGTCCTCCAATGACACTGTGGGCGCCCCGCACCGCCGAGCACACAGGAGCCCGGCTGCGGCTCCGAGGGCGCGCGGGGGGGCCCGCCGCGCCATGGTTCGGAGGCCGAGGCCCTCTCCGCGGGCTCGCCGCCTCCTCCCCGCGTGACTTGAGCCAAACTGGCTGCGGTGGGAGGAGGAGAAGAAGGAGGAGGAGGAGGAGGAGGAGGAGGAGGAGGAATCGGAATCGGAACAGTTGCGGAGGAGGAGGAGGAAGAGGAGGAGGAGGAGGAGGAGGAGGAGGAGGAGGAGGAGGATAATGAGGTAATGAGGATAAAGATAAGGAGGATGAGGAGGAGGCGGAGGAGGAGGAGGAGGAGGAGGAGGAAGAGGAGGAGGAGGAGGAGGATACTCAGACTTAGACATTCCTGGGCGAAGACAAACCGAGTTATCCGACTGTTGAAATCGCTGGGCGGCATTACCTAGTGGCTGCAACGTTCCTTCGCACTGGCGCTTGTGCAAGGCCCGCACTTCATTACCAGAGGCGATGTGGGCAGCGGGATGCAACGCGGGGCCCCCGACGCCATCCCGCGCTGCAGGGCTAGGCACCACTACAGCCCCTTATCCCCTCCCTTGCTCAGGGGGATGATTTTGTCTCCCCCGACCTCTACTCTGATCCTTACCGCCTCCCTTAAGACGTGGCTGAATTTTGCCGTAGGCATACAACGGCCCCGGGGATCCTCTAAGACTCACTCCGCCAAATTGGCGATGAAGGAGGCGAGGGCCGACTTCCTATTTACAGCCCCACGAACCATTCATTTACCCAGTCTATCACTGCCCACAAGATTCTGCAACCTCCTGCTCGCCGCGGGACCTACTTGGGCTCTAGCGTGTTCAAAAGCCCCGCGCGTCCCCCTCCAAGACACGTCGTGGCGCTGCTCCGATCGTGATGTCTCCTCCCAAGCGCGATCTCGGCGTGCAGCACCTCGTCCAGCTCCGTCGCGATGTTCGTCGTCGAAAGCGCCCGCTGCAGCCGTACTTTGCTCTCCATGCGCTTGGACTTATTCTCGGTCTCCCTGGGCTGCGGGACACGCGCCCAGAAGTACTTGATGTCCACCGGCGCCTGCGCGAGCTCGTACTTCATGATGAAGTTCTTCCAGTAGTCGGTCAAAGCCTCGCGCTCTCGGCCATCTGCGGTGCTCGCGAGGAGCGTGCGCGCGAAGTCCTTCCACGCGTCCACCTGGGGGTCGTCCTTGGCGCCCTCCCGCAGCTGCTTCGTCGCCTCGTGGTGCTCCTTGCCCTCTCTGACTGCCGCCTCCACGCTAGCCGCCGCCACCGGTGCCAGCGCCGTGGCGAGGACCGCGCTGATGACCGATCTCGGGTCGCCTGCCATGCTTTCGCACCAGCCTGCTGAGGATGATGGAGAGCTGCTGCGCGACCTGCCCCTTGGCTCGCCCTGCGGCGCCTGTGGCCGCCCCGATTGCCTCCTCCGCCTTCGTCCCCTTGGTCTCGCCCTCGGCCCCGCCAGGCGCGGCGGCGCGCTTGCCCTCTGGGGGCGCCCGCGATGCCCTGCCGATCCCCGCGTCCAGTATGCGCTCGGGTTCGTCTTCCGTATCCACGGCGCAGGTTTTGGCCCACAGTTGCGGGCGCCAGGATATCAAGGAGATGTGGAAGATGGCGAACGAGGTGTAGTCTCAGCTCGAGCCAAGATCCCGCTGCGTCTTCAGATCCAGGACAGCAGTGCAAAGACTTGGGCTCTTGCGCTGGGACGAGGGCCCGAGCGAGGTCGACGACGCAGTATCCTCGCTGCACCGACCGAGCGAGGCGTTGGCGGGCGGTGACCTCCGAGGCGAACGCAGTCTCGAACACCATGCGCACGTTGAGCGGGTTATGAAGCGAGTAGATGTTGCCTGTGTTGTGCACCTGTCGTACATGTGTGCGCGACGGCCTTTTTGAATATAATTGTCTTCCACATCGCCTCGCCTCGACTTCCACTTGACAAATAAAAACCCCCACCCCTGGAATAAGCTTTTCCTCCTCGTGTGTGGGCTAGGCTGGCATGCGCGTTGTGGGTGGAATATTATCGTGGAGCTCTGTGGCGCGAAGAATGCTAACGCCGACATTGAGCAACTCCTCTCTCGTGATCGGATGTTGTAGCCGCGCCGCGGCATGCGGCCCCTCGATCTCTCGCAGGCTTTGTGCCTCGTCAGAACGGTGCACGAGCGCGTCGACGTCGTCCTGAATTCTCCTGGCCCAGGGGTCGGCAAACCACTCGACGAGTCGTCGTCTGCGACCGTGTCTTGCGCCTGGCCGCTTGTCGTGCAGAAGAGCGCCCCGAAGACCTGGATATTGTTGCTCTTGTCAGCTGCTGCCTGTTAGAGCCACTTCAGTCGCCTCACTCGAAACTCCACCTCCGCCCGTGCGATCTTCCAATGTGTTGCGACCTCGAGACTCGTCGAAGTTGTCGCCGTCCCATCCACGTTCCACGTGCGTGCTGTTTTCCTCGCGTGGCAACGCCAGCGATGCCGCCGCTCCGTCGATCGCATCGCACTGGCCTTTGTGGGGATGAAGGCCTACGCGGCGGATCAAGCTGCATTGGCCGCTCGCCCCGGCGGCGCTGTCTTTCTCCATCGCCGCGGTGTGCGCCCATCGCCCGCGAAATATCCCATGTACTAGAACGCCGTTTTTGCTGGCTGCAGTCTCTTCGCCAACTCCACCCCGAAACCTTGAGCGCAAATTATTATCGGTCCCAGGTAACGTGCCTGGTCCACGATGCGTCCGACCCATTCTGTGGCGTTGGTCCCGCTGCCTGGAATCCAGCCGCGCGCTGCCGCTTCCCAAGCCGTGCGCGGCCATGATGTTCGCTTGGTTGTCCTTGCTCTGGGCCAGGCCGATGGCGGGGAGGTTGTCGCCCCTGAACTGACTGCAGTCCTGCAGCATATCGCGCAGCTTGCCCGGGTTGACTGTCTCCTTCGAGGGAGGCGGTGCTGCGGCGCCTTCGCGTTGATGCCGCCGGCGTGCAGGTGGCTGCTGAAGTCGGCCTGGCTGACTGTGATAGGGCACTTCGCTGCGAGCTTGCTGTCTGCGCATTCCTTCTCGCGCCGCTGCGAGGTCCGCGGCTCGCTATAGCGTAAGCGAAAGCTCGGGGGGCCCGCGCGCCGCGAACGGGCCCCCCGCGAGGCCGCCCTCGGCTGGCCTGAACTTTCATGTGCTTTCTGCTGCTGGTAGTTGCACTTGAGCCCGTCGAACGCGTTCGTTGCAGAGCGAAGCGACGGTCGCCGACGCGTGCGAGGTCCTCCGCTGTCTTCTCCATGTTATGCAAGCCCGCCGGCGGGGGCTCGTTGGCCATGTCTTTGAAGATAACCACAAACGACGAAACTTGCAATTGCCGTGGGTTGTAGGCTGTCACCATGGATGCCAAGATCGCCGTCTCTCGTCGTCGCCCCCCCCGCGAGCCCATGATTCCGCGGTGGAAATGGCTCTGGTCGCCGAGCGCCGATGCAACTGGCGCAGAAGGCCTTGGCGAGCACGCGTGGAGCATGCAGTGGCCGGCGCCCTTGAGGTCCAGGTTGCCCATTCTCTTTCCCGCATGACATTCGCTCGCAAGCCAGTGGGGCGGAGTCGTTTGTTGACGCCGAAGGTATTAGAACGACACGTGAAGACATGCCTCGATGTAGCTGTTGTCCGTGTCTTGCAAGTAGAAGCCCCCGCCCCAGTTGGATGGGTCTCGCTATGCTTGAATGATAATTCAGTTGGTCTTCGTTGGTAGAGATGAGGCCAGGCGCGCCTTCCACTTTGGGGCCCCCCAGAGATGCCATTCTTTCCAAAAGCGCACCAGTAGCGTGATCATCGTCGGATTGAAGCAAGTGGTCTGGGGCCCGCTTTGATGAAATCTCAAGGGTCTTCAATGCGAGGTGGTTCGTCCGGCACTTCTTCGCATTCGAGCTCGCCGCGACCTGGTGGAGCTATTGGAACCTCAATGGCACCCGTGCCCCCTTCTCGTCCATGTCTTTGTGAGCGCCTGCATCCACTCGTTCTTCGTCGGATTCGAACGTGACATGCTCGTGGGTCACGTCTTTGGTCCCAGCTTTCGTGCTCCCTAGCCTGGTCATTGCCCGATACGCTTGAAAACGAAAGCCGCGCCCCCCAATGTTCCCGGATCTCCGAAGAAATCGCCTCTCCATTAGCGAGCGCTACCAAGCTCGTGAACAATAACTTCGAGCTGGTCTTAAACTTGCTGTTTGGTGGATTCAGTCGCCCAAGTCGCCTCGCGTAGGTCTCGTCTCTTTTGGTAATCTAGCTAGCCTGTATTCTCGTAGTTGCCGGTGCTCATCATTCACAAAGTGTGGCTCCAGACAACATATCTTGAGCCGTAGTGACCATAGTTTCTCCCAGATACCCAAAAAATGGCACGTCAGGAGTAGTTTGTATTCCCAGCTGTGCCCGTTGCTCCATCCCATCACGAAGAATGTGATTCGCCATTGTTAATTACTTGTGCTGTCTGGTCGCCGTGTCTAAGCGCGTGCACTAGTGCATCTCGGTTGCACTTCTCTCCGCCTTGCTCTGCATATGGATCGTCACGTGTCGTCAATCTGTCATGCATGATGCGAACGAATGCGGGCACGTGGTCTCGTAATTGCAGATCAAGACTCGTCTGTAGCCGCCTGCCCCGTCACAAACGCCCTTCCACGCCACGGCCGATTCCGTAGTCTATCCTGGACGTCTCTCCCCTGTTGCCAAACCATGTGGGCTCGCTCGAGTCGTCGAACGCCGCCATGTGTTGCCGTACTAGCAATTCTCGAGTTCGCTCGTCTGCGACTTTGTTGAACTCCTTTGTGGCGTGCTGTTCGCGAATGATGCATTCGCCCATGTAGCCCTGTACTGTCTGCGCGCTAATTCCGATGCCGTCGTTGAGGTCGACATGGGCGAGCGGCAAAGAGGAGCGCGGCGTCTGCAACAACACGTGATCAAACCACTGGGACATGCGCGCGCAATTCTCTCTGTAGTGGGCGCCTGCCGTCGCCGTGTTCGGCCAAGGCAACAAATACATCACCACAACCGTGATGTCCACCAATCCATTTTTGCACCTCGCCGCCAATACTCTGCCTTGCAATGTTGCGGGTCTCTGAAAAAACTTGTCGAACATGATCCTTGTGGAACCAGCGCCCCCATATAAGCCTGCACCGAGCCGATTTGTTGGTATATACACCCTGTCTTGCCCCCATTCTGAATCAATGATCAAGCGCCCACGCGCATCTGGATGGGATCCGTGCGTGTAGCCAAGGGGAGCCTTGGACTGCGTCCCGACCAGGGCGAAGACGTCGAAATTGCGAATCTTGTCCGCGATGTCCACCGCCCTACAAGTAACGCCGACAACGGGTTGAGGACCCCGATGAACAACTGCAGAATCCGCCTGTACCTGCCACCGCGAAGTCGCGCCGCCTGGGCAGCAGCCGCCATGGCCCGTGCCGCTGCGCGGATCCTGGCGGTGTGGGGGGGCTGGGGCCCCCCTCCATCGGCCCTGCTCCTGTGCTCGAGGGGGGCTGAGGAGGAGGAGGAGGAGGAGGAGGAGGAGGAGGAGGAGGAGGAGGACGAGGAGGAGGAGGAGGAGGGGGAGGAGGGGGAGGAGGAGGAGGAGGAGGAGGAGGAGGAGGAGGAGGAGGAGGAGGAGGAGGAGGAGGAGGAGGAGGATGAAAGACGACGCTACGAGCTTCGCTCAAGTTTGCCAAACGCAAGAAGGAGGAGGAGGAGGGAGGAGGGAGGAGGAGGAGGAGGAGGAGGAGGAGGAGGAGGAGGAGGAGGAGGAGGAGGAATAACAGAGGATAGGAGGACGCCAACTACACCTACACCGATCCTGGCCATGGTCATCCGCGGTTTCTGATAACTGGGTGTGTAGCTGATCGATGTAGATTATGCGCCACAAGCCAGCACCCCCCACGGACAGGCCGCTAGGGAAACCACTCTCCGCGCGATCACCCGGCCGACAGCGACGACGAAGGCGGCGGCAGTAATGCGTTGCTATATCTGGCAGGTGGCGCCCTGGTCCGCGCCTCTGCGCACAGAGAGTGGAGCGTGTTTTGCGACGAGTCGCGGCAGCGACGCGCGGAACTTCGCCCTCGCTACCTGGCCAGTGGGCCCAAGCCTCAGCCAGCCTGAAACAGCCACTCTACGCTTCCGACGCCAGAACTGATGACGATTGCACCAGCCAGCGCTCCGTGGCATTACTCGGAAGAGGGCCAGTTGAGATATCGGGGATCTACTGGCCCGGGTCAATCCAAACCCGGGTCAGTCCGGGCCTGCAGGATCCTGCAAGATCCTGTAGGACCCTGCAGGAACCTGCGCCCAAGCCTGGGCCAATGCGCCACTGGCTCTGCAAGATCCTGCAGGATCCGGCGCTCTGACTGACCCCCGTTTGCATCGACCCCCGTCTCATGAGCCCCGCAGGCAGCGGCGGCCCTCCCGGCAAACCTCCGCTCCACACCGCACACCTGGACGCCTCCCGGGGTCCCTCCGGCCCCTGCCTCTCGAGGCGGGCCCCGCCGTGGCGGCGAGGCGCCTCCGTGGGGGGCCAGGGAAGACGAGGCACGCGAGGGAGGAGGAGAGAGGCAGGGAGAGCCGCTGCTGTCTCGACGGGCCCTCCTCCGACCCTGACGCCACCGCCGCACCGGCGGGCGGCCATCCAGCCCACCGCCTCGAGGAACAATCAGCTGCATGGGCATGAGAACTCTTGGAGGTCCGCGCTGGGGTGTTGGATCCGTCAGGGACCTCCCTCCCTGGGGCCCCCGAGCACGCGGGGGGCGGCGCCGCTGGGGGGGGGGGCGATGGGTGCCGCTCCGAGACGTCCGCGCGGAGCTCCACAAGTTTAGGTTCGTGCCCCTCTTCCTGCCGAGAGCGCCGAGGAGGTCTGGCTCAAGAGGGGTGATCTCGGCGGCTGCGGGGGCGCCTCGGGTCGAGCTGGGGGGTCTCAGGTCGGGCTGGGGGCCTCAGGTCTCGCGGAGCCAACCTCGAGCCGACGAGCCCTTCTGGCGGCGTCCGATGGCGGGCAAGACTTGTGCCCATTTTAAATACGATGGCGTCCGATGTCCGATTTTTAATACGGGGTCCCTGGAAGCCCCGACGCTTTCCCCGGGACTGGCTTTTCATCCTGAATGGCTTTTTGACGGTCCCGAGGCCCGGCGAAGGCCTCCCGAGGCCGCAATCGGCCAAACACTTCCCGCCCTGATTCTTTCACGACGCGATCATGTCTGGGGCTAGAACTCTTGCCCGCACCGATCCTGCTTCGACCAACGCTCACTGGTACCACCAACTGCACGCGCACCGGCTCTTTCTGTGGGCCTTGCCTGGCGGCCCTCGGCGCCCGGCGGCCCTCTTCTGGCGACGCAACTTCTCTTGCGACCTGGGCCCCCCCTCTCGGGGACCTCGACCCCTGCCCAGGGGCCGCCCAGGCGCCGTCTTTGGGGACCTCCCAGGTGAGGTCCGAGCAGACGGGGTCGGAGGGTCGCGCCGCATCGCCGATGCATCGGCGACGTGGGCGATGCATCGGCGCCATCGGCGTGGAGAAAATCGGGCTCCCCGGCGAGCTGCATCGCCGATGCATCGGCGATGCGGCGCGACCCTCCGACCCCGTCTGCTCGGACCACCCCGGGGAGACCCGGGGTCTTCTCGTCCCGAGCGGTTGCTTGACGGCCCTGGGCTCCGGGAGACGGCCACGGAGGCCGAGAAACTGGGACGAGAGTGTCGTGAGAGGCTTGGCTTAGGCTGGGCATGTCCCCCTACAGGCAGATTTTGGAGGACAAATGAAGCAGATTCAAAACAAAAACTAAGACATAGCGTAGAAGAATATAGAATCGCCCCCGGATTATTTTTGGACTATTTTTGAGTATTCCTCCTGTGGGGGACATGCCCGGCTTAAGGCTAGGCTCAGGATGCGTTCCAGGGCTTCCAGAGTTATGTAGCAGTGCTCGCTTCTCGGGCTAGTGTGGGACACGGAGAAGGCTTGGAGATCCTGGAAGCCTTAGACATCCTGGCACGTATCAGCACCGCGACCTAGCGCTCCCCTGAAAAAACGCCCCCCGAAAAAGCAGGCCGTCGCGATTTCTGATGCGCCTGCAGGATCCGTGAGGCGACCGCGGCTGGAATAGAGGCCTCCCAAATGGCGTCCGAGTAGATGGGGTCGAAGGATCGAGCCGCATCGCCGATGCATCGGCGATGCTGCTCGATGCGGAGCCTGGCTTTCTCCACGCCGACGTCGCCGATGCATCGCAAACGTCGCCGATGCATCCACGATGCATCGGCCATGTGTCGACGATGTATCAGCGACGCATCGACGATGTGGCGTGACCCTCCGACCCCACTCGGAAGCTGGGCGAAGGCTGGCAAATC